CCCCGCAGCCCATGCCAGCTGCTGAGTCGTTTCACTGCCTCCCCTCCAGCCATCTCCTCTGACTCTCAGTGGCCTCCCTGGGAACAGGGGCGGTGCCATGTGCCTTCATTTGCCTGCTGAGCCCCGGCAGCCTCCCTCCACAGGGGAACCAGACCCTGTGCCCTGAGCCGGCATCATGTCTGGTGTGGTCACTTGTGTCCCCGCAGCACATTCATCATCGAGAAGCAGCCCCCTCAGGTCCTGAAGACCCAGACCAAGTTTGCAGCGACGGTGCGCCTGCTGGTGGGCGGGAAGCTGAACGTGCACATGAACCCCCCCCAGGTGAAGGCCACCATCATCAGTGAGCAGCAGGCCAAGTCACTGCTCAAGAATGAGAATACCCGCAAGTACGTGTGACCCCTTCCCTGCCTTCCCCTCCCCAGGTTCCGGACTGGGATCTCAGATCTACTCTACAACTAGGGTCCTGGACATTGGGGACAGCCTCCCTCACTGCAGCCATGGACCAGTGTCTCTCCAGTTCATCCCGTCTGTCCTGTTGTATACTTTGTTCTGCTTTGACATATAGTAGGTCAACGTGGGTTGCCCTGTTGGGTTGTTCAAGTTCTTGGGCTGATCACTGGGACGTAGCTGCAATCCGTGCAGAGTTTGGCTCTGTGGTCACCCAAGTCAGCAGAGCAGGCCTCAGTCATGAGAAATGTAGTGCGTTGGACAGGAGAGATGTAGGGCTCTGTGGAAGTGAGATTGGTAGTTGTGGGGCAGAATGATAGTCTCTGGACGCAGGACCAGTGAGGGTGGCTAGTGAGAGAGTGTGGAGAGAGGAGAGGGAATACCTTCAGACACAGAGAACATGGGCCTTGTCTGGAAGGAGAGCATAGAGCAGGTCGGCACGGCTGGAGAACCTGGAGTCCAGGGATGAGGGCCGGCCCCCCACAAAGGATTCAGGGAATGAATGAACTGACGAATAAATGAATGAATGAGGGAGTGAATGAGTCAAGTGGGAGACCTGGTCCCATGCGTTGAATGTCTATTGTGGGTTCTGGGAATGGGATGATAAAGCGAAGAGGTTCTCACTCTCTTAGAGCTTACAGTTTGGCTGGGGAGGGAGATAGTTATATGCTTTTCGAAATACGGTGATGTCAAAACGTGATAGATTCTCGAAAGATAATGAAAACAGTGATATCATAGTGTCTGGATAGATGTGCCATCACCACTCGGGTGGTCAAGGAAGGCCTTTCCGAGGAGATGTTTGAGTTGAGACCTAAACCAGAAGGTCAAGTGTTTCTGGGCAACGGGAAGAGCAGGTGCACAAGTCTCGAGGTAGCAACAAGTTTGCATGTTCAGCAAACAGACAGGCAGCATGGCTCGGTCCTGAGTGAGGGGAGAGGAACCCACTGAGGCCAGGGAGCTGGGCAGAGTTTGACCATGACCATGGGGATCCTTGTGGGCTATGGTCATGGTTGTTGGTTTTTTTTGTTTTTTTGTTTGTTTTTTAGAGAGAGAGCGCAGAGAGAGGGAGAGAGAGAAACAGGGCTCACCCAAAGCGGGGCTCGAGCTTACCTGATGCAGGGCTTGAACTCACTAACCCTGAGATCGTGACCTGAGCCCATCTGATGCTTAACCAATTGAGCCAGTGAGGCGCCTCTGTTCTTTTTTTTTTTTTTTTAATGTTTATTTTGAAAAAGAGAGAGTGCACGAGTTGGGGAAGGGCAGAGAGAGAGAGAGAGAGAGAGAGAGAGAGAGAATCCTGTGCAGGCTCTGCACTGTCAGCACAGAGCCCGATTCTGGGCTCGATCTCACAAACTGAGATCATGACCTGAGCCGAAACCAAGAGTTGGATGCTTACCCGACTGAGTCACCCAGGTGTCCCATGGTTTTTATTTTAAGTGCACTAGAAGCTGCCAGAGGGCCCTGAAGACCCCCACGTCAGTTCCAACGCTGAGGGAATTTTTAACCTAATGACAGAGACCCAGACTTTGGGTAGACTTTGGAGACTTTGCTGTACCCTCAGGTTAATGAGAAAGTAAGCCCGAGACACGGCGAGGAACACTCTCAGGGGATGGGGCAGGGGCTGCTGGCAGGGCTTTCTGGCATGAACATCTGGCTGAGGGAGCGCACAGAGCCGTGCTCCTGGCCTGGGGCCCATGTGGCAATGGGGCTCCCCTGTCCTTCACAGCGACTACAGTGGAGAGATCCTGAACAACTGCTGTGTGATGGAATACCACCAAGCCACCGGCACCCTGAGTGCGCACTTCAGGAACATGGTGAGGACAGGGCCTGAGCCCTGGAGGGAGGGTCTGCCCAGGGCTGAGTCCTCATAACCAGCCGCTTCCTCCTTGTCCCCCTCTGACCTCCCACTCTGCAGTCACTAAAGAGAATTAAGCGTGCTGACCGGAGGGGCGCAGAGTCTGTGACGGAGGAGAAGTTCACAGTCCTGTTTGAGTCTCAGTTCAGTGTCGGCAGCAATGAGCTTGTGTTCCAAGTAAAGGTGAGGCCCCGCTTCTGCCAACCCCCTCGGGTCACCCAGAAAAGCACCTGGCTGGTTTGGGGAAAGCCAGAGAGCTCTGGATCCTCACACGGTCACGGACCATTTAGCCGTGAGGCTGTCAGAAAGCCTGCTCGCTAGGTTATAAGCTGGCACCGGCCAACAGAACTTAGGCCATGGACCAAGAAGAAATGTGTTCTGGGTTTTTTTGTTTGTTTGTTTTTGCTTTGGTTTTGTTGGGAGGGCCTGTGGGTGGGATTGTGGGTGAGGAGCGAGGGCTGGGAGTCTTGCCTACGTGAGGGCAAGGTGGTGGTCGTGTGCCTTCTACGTTCACTCCTTTGCCATAGACTCTGTCCCTTCCCGTGGTTGTCATCGTTCATGGCAGCCAGGACCACAATGCTACCGCCACTGTGCTGTGGGACAACGCCTTCGCCGAGCCGGTGAGTACTCGTGGGACCGCCACTTCTGCCCCCTCCAGGCCCTAGGAGTCTCCCTGCATCAGCCCCAACCACTTGGGCCCTGCTGGGTGGTCCCCTGCCAACCCCAGGGCCACACCAGAGCTGAGTTGAGGTGACGGGCAGCTGGTGTGAGTGCACTGCCCGTGGCATGTTCTCGGCTCCATCTGGGCTCCCGGGACTTGGGACTGGGATCTCCCGGGTCTGTGAGCTTACTCAGCCTTTGGGCTCTGGTCTCTGATCTTCCTTTGGCTTGTGTTTTGGGTCCCTGATCTGTCCCGGACGCCTGGTCTGGGTCTCTATCACTGCGTGTCTAGCCCTTCTGCCTTTCTTTTGCTCGTGTTTGTGTCGCCTTTTCCGAGTCAGTCTCAGTCCCTTCTTGCATCTCGTGGTATCTGTGTATCTGAGTGTGTTTGTGTAAGTATTTCCTACGCCTTCAGTCTGCCTTTTCTTCTCTCCCTCGCAGGGCAGGGTGCCATTTGCCGTGCCCGACAAAGTGCTGTGGCCGCAGCTGTGTGAGGCGCTCAACATGAAATTCAAGGCCGAAGTGCAGAGCAACCGGGGCCTGACCAAGGAGAACCTCGTGTTCCTGGCACAGAAACTGTTCAACAGCAGCAGCAGCCACCTTGAAGACTATAATGGCATGTCCGTGTCCTGGTCCCAGTTCAACAGGGTGAGGGACGCGCCACCAGACTGGGACCAGTCTTTCCCCACCTCACAGACAGGTTACTGGCTTTGGCCAGGACCCCATCCTTCACCCCCAACTGCCCTCTCCTACAACCGGGAGAGACGAAGGCTAGTACCCCAAGGAATGGAGGCAGGGGCAGCAAGAAAAACGCACTCAGCTCTGAGAGCCAAAGCAGAATAATGGAAGGAGCTGGGGGGCTGGGAGTCAGGATCCTTGAGTCCCTGTCCTAGATATGTTAACTAAGTGGCCAGGCCTTTCCCTTCTCTGTGCCTCAGTTTCCCCATCTAAACCTTTGGGCAGAAATGACTTCGGAGGTCTTGCCCAGCTTGGACAATTCTAGGCACCTCCTACCCGCACCCCTGCGTCTGAAAGGCAAGAGGCAGTTTCCCCTCTCGTCCCTAAGCTACGGGTTGGGGGCCATGTCCATTTATGGACCGCTGGAGTGCTGGGCAGGTAGGATGAGGAACTGGGAGAGGGTATTTGTGAGGACAAGAGGGCACTGTTTCCTGGGCCACCTGTGACAGCGGGGCCACATACCCTGACTTGGGGTATCCTGGGGGCTCTCAGGAGAACTTGCCGGGCTGGAACTACACCTTCTGGCAGTGGTTCGATGGGGTCATGGAGGTGCTGAAGAAGCATCACAAGCCTCATTGGAATGACGGGTGAGAAGCGGAGGGGCCTGGGGGTTGGGAGGGCATGGGCTCAGGGGACACGGGCTGCTGGCCCGGGAGTGACACTGTATGCTCCGTAATTCTAGGGCCATCCTAGGTTTTGTGAATAAGCAACAGGCCCATGACCTGCTCATCAACAAACCCGATGGAACCTTTTTATTGCGCTTTAGCGACTCTGAAATCGGGGGCATCACCATTGCCTGGAAGTTTGACTCTCGTGAGTGCCCTACTTTGCCCACACTCCAGCCCAGGAGCCCTGACGACCATTTCCTTGCTCCCCATTCTCCACCAGGCCTGCATCCTTGGAGGGTTCCCCAGGGGAAAGATCAAAACAGACCTCAAAGTAGAAGAGTGTTGCTCAGAAATACATTCCCTTTCTACTGTTTTCCATTGCGGAGAACCTAAGATCACTGGCCCCATAGCCTCTGGAGTTGCCAGGGGACTTCTTCAGCAGTTCTGAGTTCTCCCTTCTCTGCCCTGCCCTAGTCTTGCTGGTATCGACTTGCTTGGTTTGCCGGGTAGAATGTTCTTGCGGTCACTTACCCGCCTTATGCCCAGGAGCACAAAACAAGGGGGAGGGTCGCAGAGCAGGCTAGTAAAGGCCCAAATGTCCCTGCAAGTCAGATCTCAAACCCCATCACCCTGACCCTCCTCTTGAGGGCGGTGAGTGGTGGGAACGAGCTTGTCCTTTTCACAGCTGACCGCAACCTTTGGAACCTGAAGCCGTTCACCACGCGGGACTTCTCCATCCGGTCCCTGGCTGACCGGCTGGGGGACCTGAGCTATCTCATCTATGTATTTCCCGACCGACCCAAGGATGAGGTCTTCTCCAAGTATTACACCCCTGTGCTCGGTGCGTCCTGCCCTGATACTCCCGAGCCCTTCCTCAGCCTGTGGACAGAGCTCTCGGGGGCTTAGGCAGCCGTGACTCCTCACAAGAAGCCAGGGGCCATTTCCCCCAGGGGGGCTGGGCCCATGGTTTGGTGCCGAGCACGTGGAGAGGGTATCGGGGCTCACAACTGAAGAGGGCAAACAAAGCTTCTGACCCGGCTTTCTCCCCAGCTGGGTGGATTCTCACGTCTGCACCCCTGAAGGAGGAGGCTGCCCCACTGGCAAAGGAAGGGGGGGGGATAATCATACCACAGATAGCGCACAACTCCCATCTTAATCAGCTGCTCTCACGGCTCCCCACCCTCAAACCTACCTGTAAGGGGAGAGTAGGAAGCAAAATGGACAGGTTTTTCTCCTTCAACCTGTCCCCAGTCCACTGTTGGGTTTGCTGCTTTGTGTTGATTCAGTTTCCTCGACACGGGTGGGACGGGGAGAGAGAAAGCAAAGGACCAGAAAAGGGAGCAGGAGAAGGGATGAGATTGAAGCCAGAGTTCTGGGTGGCTGTCAGGCTGGGTCCACCAGCAGGTGTTTATGGGAGTCTGTGGGAAATCTAATCCCCGCTGAGGCCCCGCAGTGGTGTGGGTGGGAGACCGACTTCATGGGGTAGGTTCCCCTTCCTGGGAGCGCCCAGACACTTTGGTTCTCATCACCCCCCCCCC